GCAGTGTTTCCCCACTGGGTCATACTCGTCCTTGAAACCGCTCCTGTGTCCCTCCCTGTGTCTCGTCTCGGTAAGCGTCTCAGGGACAGCCTCTGCTCCCTCCCCGAATACGCACAATCACCACTGAGGCTGTCTTCACTCACTCGATTCTCTCCCAAATTCACTGATGTGTCTAGGACTTAAATATAAAGTGGGTTGCTGCAAAGCTGTGATTCAAATGTTAAGTATGACTGTTTTTTTGCTATATATTTTAAGACAGTTTATGGGTGACTTGTGCTTGTATAGTCCAGATCCTTAATGCCAGGACACACCACATAAGACTCGAAACTAAAGCAGCCAGCTGCTCGAAAACACTGGCCAGGAAGCCAGGGAGGCTGTCCGGCGACAGCCCAGGCAATGAGGTGGGAGCCCAGGGGCCCCGTGAGAAGGCTCGCAGAGAGGCACTGCCCCCTCCTCTCACCATCCCGCAAGGACCTGGCTCCCTGGGGGGCTGCAGGCTCTAAAACAACTGTGTGTCAGCAAGCTCCAAGCCCTCCGAGCCTTTAGCAGGGAAAGGTCCTCCCCTGCCTTCTCCATGGGGTGACTCTATAGGCTTCTTGGTGACTCTTGATGGTGACTGAGGTGGTTTAAAGATAAGCAGTGCATGTGGACATGTGTTCTTTCCACATCTTGTGATTCTGAGCTGCTAAACCACTTAGAAGAACAAGAACCTCCTTTAAATTCCATGCCTGATGATGTGTTACAGAATTGTACACCTGAAACCTATGTAACTTTACTAACCATTGTCACCCCAATAAACTTTAATTAAAAAAAGATTAAATTCCATGCCTGGAGTCATTTTATACACATCCCTGCTCTACAAGGCTGTAAGCTCCTCTATGACTTACTCTTCTTTGTTTCTTCCAGCACCTATCACTGTCTAGCACAATACGCGTATCAAAAGGAAGGTTGAGTGAAAAAAGTGTAGTCCTTCTGAGAAATGCACAGCATTGTACTTTATTTATTAGGAAATCTCTGAAGTATTGTTTTTTCTCAGTAACTTACTTAAAATAACCCTCTGGGAAACTGAGTGACCAACGTCATCAAAGCTATTAATACTTTCAAAACTTCAGATACCCAGTTCCAACTGGGGGGTCTGTTACACGTAAATTATTAACTACATGATATTAGGTTAAAAACTGCCATTGTTTGGTGACTTTGTGACAAATGTGTGCTTTGTACAGTGTTAAGAATACCAAGTCAATTTTTAAACTATTTCTTTCCTTCCCTCTCTTTTCTATAATTCATCAGATTGAATTATCTAAGCAAGGACTAGCATATTACTTTAGTCTCACTGCGAATAATGAAATTGCTTGCTCCTGAAAATAAGATTTAGGTTGACACATCCCCAAACCTGGTCGATACACAGCATATATCCATTTTACACAGTGTTCACTATAATGGCAAATGATACCCTGGAAGTGAGCCGCCCACGTACCACACAGGTAGGGCCGACCCACCCTGGGTCTGCCACTACCACCTTTCCTGATGACTCAGGTAGGGGCTGTGCCACCCTGGGTCTGCCACTACCACCCTTCCTGATGACTCAGGTTCCTACACAAGGAGGAAGTCTGAGCAGAGCTCTGGTCTCCCCTCCTTTGCTGCGAGTATGGGATTCTTGCTCAGATGTTATCTGGAATTAGAAATTATTAACTCTTGGTGAGGATAAAAATAAGGATGCTTTTTAATTACTATTTATGGATTATAGGAAAGATCGTGTTTCTTCCTGTAAGCCTGACTTAGATAGAAAATTAGTATTTTCTGATTTTATTTGGGTTATCTTGAATCTGCACCAGGAGTAAATAAACTCCTTGTAACTATGAGGACGAGCCTCCCCTGGGCCCCGTGCTGCCTGCCAAGGGTGAGGAGTGAGAGGGGAGACTCGATGGCACTGAGGCAAGCGGTGGGCAGCAAGGATGCCACCCATCAAGACCTGATGAGAAGCAGCTTTTTGTTTTTAATTAAAAACACAGCTTTTAAAATGCCTCATTCATTTTTTTGTTTTTATAGAATCAAAACACAGGAATTTTTCTTAAATGAAAAACAGAAACAGCTTAAGTTTTTTTTTTGTTGTTGTTGTTGTTGTTTTTTTTTAGCAAGCAAGTTAAAAAAAGCAGCCCAGGAAATTGTCCTTGGTAATCCTGCCAGTTTCAATTTTGATCTTTTATGCAACTAGTATCAGGATAATAATATTTGGTTGAAAAGAGAGAGAACGAAGTTTTGATAAGCTGTTTTGCACACGTTTCAGTTAAGTGATTGGCTGATGTCAGGCTTGCTACTGTTACTGCAGCTGCTTTGACAGATGCAAAAAAGAGAATCATGTACAATAATTTCAAGATTTTAAATATCCTAAGAAAACTCATATATAAGCGGACCCTAAAAAATGTACCTGACAATACATCTAATTACTTTGGACTACTTCTGTTAGTGCCACAAACTGAAAGGGGGCCATACGTCAAATCTAGAGAAAATAAAAGTTAAATTAAATATAGATGAATGGTATTTATTAAGTGCCCATTATTTGCTCTTCAGTTTTGTTGAAACAATTGGCATTTTTTTCTAGCTAAACCCTAGGATCTCGTGGAAAGAACCCAACATTTCATAGTTGCAAAGATTATGAAATAGTCAGCTTCACCCATGGATATTTCCTGACATTTCGTTGGTAAACTTGTAGCCTAATAGAAGATATCAGGAATTAGTGTAAGAAATAGTCTAAAAAGCTATTGTTACTACAAAGATGAAAAGCAACTTGGATGATCAAAAAGAAGTCAATAAAAAAAAGACTGAAAGTCTTTCTGTTGTTCCTTCCTGTTGTTCATCTGAATCCTTCCTGTTGTTCATCTGAAGTTTCTTAATTTCCCTACTCTCAATATATTATGGGATTTTCAGTGTGAAGCTTTGCCATGAATTAGTGATGGCAACAAAGCTTTACCTTAAGTCACATTTTATCATCAACTGGAGAAGCTCCAGTCCTCCAAGGAGCACTGTTTCCTGCTCTTAAGAAGTTTGTCTTCTTTTAGTGACACGCGCGTCCTGGACATAAGGTGGGGCTCAGCTGACCTTCACCGACAACTAAACCTAAGCCGATTCCGCTGAACACCACGCCGCCATCTAAGGTGGTGTTTTCATTGGTGGCCATATCTGTTCTGCTTCTGTTTCCTTTGCTCTTTGCTGTTCTCTGCCCGTGTGTGTGTGTGTGTGTGTGCTACTGCACCCAGTGCCTGGAACTGTATATCTGTTTTCCTGCCATCCTTAATGAACGGACTTCCCCTGTCACTACTGTGCAGCTTATTTTTTATGACCTAGAAATGTTGTAACTTAAAAACTGTCATAGAAGGAGCAAAGGGTTGGAATTCAGATAAGCCTGGGTTTGAATCCACCTGTGCTCTTTACTAGTTCTATGACCTTGGATGAGTGACACAGTGTCTCTGGGTGTCAGTGTGCCATCTGTGAAATGGCTATGGCAATGCTGGCCTTCTACGGTCATTACCAGGACCAATAAACCAAAATGTGTTTGCTTCTTGTACAGTGTCTGTCACCTTGTAGGCCTTTGAGAAAATCCAGTTGTTACTAATGTTTTCATGCTCATATTATCTTATTTTGTGATCCTAATATTGACTGTACAACACAGACCCGGTACAATATATATGTACATACGTGATATATACATGTATACACATGCCATATACATACATACATGACATGTATTTTTCGCAGGGTATATAAGAGAGTAGGAAGGAATGATAAGAGGTCAAGTCGGTTTAGCAAATATTAATACTCAGCATCGATTACATGCCATGTCTACCATTGTGTGCAGTCCCCACCTCATGGTGCTGTTTGTAAGTGTCTCCAGAGATGGAAAAGGTTTCCCTATTAGCCTTATCTCAGTGTTTACTCTTTCCACAAGGTCAAAATCACCTAACCTATCATTCCCTACTGAGTTTACTGTAAGATAGCCAAAGTATAAATGTCTTCAATACCTATGGCATCCTCTATGCGTAAAAATTGGTGGCACTTAGAAGACTGTTAATGATGCTATACCCAATAGCTGAGGAAAATGCATTTATAAAAGGTTTCATTGAGACTTTTGATCTTTATTGATACATTGTTGACTTTTTGGTTTAAATTGTCAAAATTGCCACCAAGAATAATTCACTATAACTAGAGTACTTGAATGAAAATAACCCTGTCATTTGAAAATGAAATAGATCATTAGCTATGGTCATAGCCAGATTATTCTGGTTATATTAGATTTGTTTTATTAACATAATGGAAAGAAAGAAGGGAAATTAAAATTCAAAAGGAAATATGATTTATATGTCTAAGTACAATAATGTCCATTTATTTTCATATGATGCTTCGTAGGCCCTGTTGGCTGCATATCTAGCATCCATTTCCTCTCTTCCTTGTGCAGGTAAGATCCTTCCTTTTCTGATGCCATTACCAGCACGTAGATCCTGATTGGTCTAGGCTGGTTTTGGTACCCTCAGTTCTCTTGCCAGGAACTGGACATGCCAGGCTGAGCATGTGACCTGAGCATGAGACATGAAGGGAGGTGTGTGTGTGGGTGGGGAGGGGCGGGGGGAAGGTCTCCTGACTCTTTAGAAGGGGGCCCCAGAAGCAGACTGTCCCTTTCTGCCTCTGGATATCGCTAGGTCTGCATGAGGTGCCTGGAACGGCTGCAGCCATTTTTGGGATTGCTTTTAGGATGAAGTCAACAGAGGAGGATGAGCTGCAAGAATGTCAGCGAGGCGAGTCAGGGCCCGAGGCTCTCTGCCCAGAGTCGGCCCTACCTACAGACTCCTGGTTTTGTGAGGTAATAAACCCCTTTGTTGTGTATGCCAACTAGGACCGGAGTTTTCTGTTACTTGCAGCCAAAGCCTCCCAATGGAAACAGGAAATACATGAGCTCCCTGACTTGGAGAAAGTAAACAAACCAGCCAAGCAGGAGTGGGCAGTACCTGTTCCTGTGACTCCAATTCCTTGTGCTGTAGTTTTTTTTCTGCACATCGCACTTGATTAGAGCGGTTTTCCAGTTCATCTTGTAAAGCCTGAAACACAGTAAGATACACACATAAACATTCAAAATTAGCACCCTTGGAAAAAAAAGTTTTATCACCTGAACTGGCATTAAACCGGCCTCAGGTCTTTAGCCTGCTACTATTGTTCCGAAGAGGTCAGGAAAACAAAACCAGATTTTAAATGTCAGGTCCAGATGTTTTATACTTTAGGATTAACTAGTATAAAAAATTCCAAACTTATAAAACAGACGCATAGCAGGTGTCAATTTATTTTATAAAAATGTCTCTTATATTCCCAGCATAGAACCACAAGCATGCAAGGAAGCACAAATCTGTTTCTAATTAAATTAGCTCTATTGGTACACCTGCAAGGTACACTTACACTCTGAAAAGTGTTGTGACAGTTAGGAATTGTGCTATTGGACCAATAAGACATTTTTCAAAATGACACTCTGGTAATTTGAGTAACTTAGAGTAGCCTTCAAGGAATTTCGCTACTAAGTCCTTGAGGCTAGTGCAGAGTCTAAGGAACCTATAGGAAGTGCGCAGAGATGAACTCTCAGTTGCCAAGTAGCTGTTGGAAATAGAATTCAGGTTAATATGGGAGAGCTTACAAACCACAAAGATCAATGATTATCATTGCATCAATTACTATTTTAAGTGAAGAGGTGAACGAGAGAAGAAACAGAATCCATAAGTCATCCAATATACTGATAATACAGAGAAAGTTACAGGGAGCAGAACCCATGGGATGAGAACTGCAAAGATGGCAGATACAGTCTCAAAATGAAATTCATTCCATCAAGACTACTGAGTTTCTACTGTATGTCAAGAATCTATTACGGTTAGAAAGATCAGTGAAAGAAAACAGACAAAAAGAGTCCCTGCTTTCATGAAGCTGACGTTATATATGGGGGGCAGACAATAAGCAAACAATAAGTAGAACACATGTCAGTGGTAAGTGCAGATGAAAAATACAGCAGAGAAGGATAGTCTGTGTGTGGGGGGAGAGGTGTTGCAATTTTAAGCAAATGGCCCAAGAACGTGCCACGGTGGAGGAAGCTGCAAAGGCCAGTATGCGGAGCGAGCACAGCAGCCGTCACAGAGGTGAAGTCACAGCTGGTCACGGGAAGCCTCGGAGGGCAGATAAGAACTGTGGCTTTTATTCAGAGGTAGGTGGGAAGCTCTGGAGGGTTGTGGGCAGATGCTGCTTTGGTTGCTGTGAAAAAGAGACTGCTGGTGGAGGGAAGGAGAG